TTGGCCACCGAATGAGGAGGAAGGACTCCCTGGAGAAGAGACTGATGCTGGGAACAATAGATGGCCAAAGAAGAAGGGGGCGGCAGAGGATGAGGTGGCTGGATGGGGTCACTGGGGAGTCACTGGGGAGGTGGGTGTGAGCTTAGGTGGACTCCAGGGATGGTGGAGGACAGGAAGGCCTGGAGGAATGTTGTCCATGGGGCCGCGATGGGTCGGACATGACTTCGCGACTGACAACAACAAACACCAGGGCACATACTTGCAAGCAGACAGACACTCAATTAAACTCTGGCATCTCCAGCTAACTCTGGGAAAGACCATATCTGAAAACCTGGAGTATCTCTTCCCCTCAGTGCCAATCTCCATCACCTAAATAGGTGATGCTCAAATAGATTGCCTAAATAGATGCTCAAGCATGGAGCACTATGGATAACCCCTATAGAGTTCAAAATAAAAGCTGCAATGGATGAGAAGCCCCGCTGACCCATTGGTCACCACCTCCCATGAGCATAGACAACACTGAAATAGAGAGTCCAATACACGTACATGTGTGTGTGTGTGTGTGTGTGTGTGCAGTCACACACATGACTAGGACAAAGCAGCTCCAAATGTTCTTCTTACATTGCACCAGCTATGCACATTCTGTGGTTCTGCATCTTTAAGGCCAAACTTGGGTTTCTTAGATACAACAGGCTGATCTTTTGGGGTTGTTAATTCTAATGCTAGATATTTACATACTGGGTTAAGCGCAGGGTTACTTGGAAGCATTTAAACACATTTTTCTGGGGAAATTATTCCAGTCTCTGTGGCACTGGAAGCTGGAGAAGTAATTTCAGTTTTCATTTCCAAACCAAGAACAAAACAAATATGTTCTGGTATTGCAGACACTATATCTTTTTTGCCAAAAGTTGAAGAAAACCCAAGGTCACCAGCAGTAATTCATTTTCCTGCAATTTGATTCCTTGCTCTCACAGTGGGTTGTCTTATTATTTTTCTTCTATTGGATTAAACATGCAATGGACTTGTCCTTTATAGCAGGCAAAATTGTGTTGACATTTGCTATGGAAGGTTCCTTCCCATGAAGAGTGGTGAAGCAACAGGCAAGAGAGAAACATCATCCTGATAGAAAAAGATGAGCCGGAGTATTACATTTCTCATCGCACTGTCTCGTGTTGCAAATTAAAGCAGATGAGAAAGCACGGGGCACAGGAAAATAACAACATTATAATGGCTTTTGCAATAACATCAGGAGGAGAGATGTTTACGAGAAATGTGTGACAAGCTTTCTCTAACAACCAAAAAAGCAAGATAAAAATCGTTTCTATTATAAGCAATATTGGGAGACCTGGCATGGAACAAATTATATCATGTGACTTCCAGCAAATGGAACAAGTTCTATTATTATGAGGATTTCAATTGATTTCCCCCTTCTTTTTCTTTCCTAGGGTGGTAGGCTGCAGCCGTGTCCAAATCACTAGCTGGTTTCTTAGATCAGGGTGCAGAGGTGCGGGCTCAGCAGGTCCAGTCCGGGGTTCTCCAACTGTCCATGCCCCCTTCCCTTGGCCCCATACCCTTTTCTCCAGCCCCGAACCAGCTGGTGATTTGCTGGGGTTTGTACAGCTTTTCCCCATTCCAGAAGATTCTGATGGGTCCTCAAAGATGCAGTTACTGGCCATATGAGGTTTAATCTAATCTAACTGCTGGCCTTGCCTTCGGCCCCATCTGCCACTAGCATGTGTCCCTGCAAACATCTTCATAACAGGATCTGCACCCCTGACTTAGATGGACCTGAGCCCGGGGATCTCTGGCTCGAATATGTTTGCTAGAGGTTTGCTTTAAGCACTGAGCAATGGCTGTTACCTCCAGTCCCTACATTGCCACAGCAGTAAGTCCTTTTGCCACAGAAGTTCCTTCATGCCAGCGTCGGCAAACAAAAGGGAGTCCTACAGCATCATCCACGGGGCTGGCTGGATTTGGCCCTGGGACCTGCAGTCACTGTAACCTGAAATCTAGACCAATTTTCTTCTGGTCTTTGGCCTGGTTGAGGCCAAAAACTACTCTGAGCGTGCTGGAGGGGGAGTTCTGCCCAAAGACAGATGGGTATGAAGCCTTATTGAGTCTGTTGGACCCTTTCCCCCCAAACTCCAGTGAATGGATGAAAAAAAGTCAGAGGTTGAAAGTAAACAAGTAAAGTATTTGTTCAATTTTAACTGGATGTTGTAACATGCTTGGATTGCCTGTTTCAATCCACCAAGTAAAAATCTGAAGCCCAGTTTCCAAATGGAAACAAGCCCAGTCACTTAGCTTCCTCCCTCCCCCACCTGTGCTCAATACTCCTTCGCTGTGTCATTCTCCCAAACTCAGTCGCCAGAGTGCTTTGTATAAATAGTAGACAGCAGCGATAATAATTCCCTGTCTTGTTGGTGGCTTATCTATAAAGGAAAATGCATTCAAGCTCTCCCCAAATGAGCAGCCAAGACTGGCTTTTTTAGTTCCCTCCGTTGGCTTTTTATCTGCTCTGCAAGGTACAGCCGTTCTGTTTGCAGATTATAGCTTTTGGGTTGGGCTGTTGCACTCAACAGTATTTGGTGCTCAATCCTAGGAGAGAGCTTGGAATGCTCCACCATTTCTGGGTTGCCAGGAGCACCCATCGCTAACTGCGGTGTTCAGTCCTCAGGGCAGTTCCATGGGAGCTTCTGGAAACCCTGGTGCACCTTCCCCAATTTGCTTGCAGAGAGCATGCTGGTTCTCTCCTCTGTCATCACTGCAAGTTTTCCTTCTGGGGGTGTGTGTGTGTGTGTGTGTGTGTGTGTGTGGAAGGTCAAGGCAGCTACCAAATCTGTTGTGACAAACTGCAGTGTATTAGGCTTTAGACATAAAGAAACATACAGGCACTCAGGACTGAAGATCCTGAAGGGTCAAGTTCCCAGAGATGGAAAGTCTATGAATGACCCAAAGCAGAGGTAGCAGGCAAGATGGAGGTCATGGCCTCACTGAGAGCAAAAACCAGACTGGGAGACCTCTTGGGAGAGGGCAAAAGAGAGCAGAAATGGGCTGCATTGTCCAAGCAATGCAGGAAAGGAACTTGGTGCGGGAGGCAAACAACACAGAAAGGCAGCTGTGACTCAGTTGGTGACAAGCTGTCCAAATTGAGAAAGTTCTCCGAGCATTATAGGAGCAGGACTGGCTCTCCAGAAACTCCCCTCCCCAGAATGCTTGCAGGTCTTCTTTCTCTGAAATAATCCAGGAGGTTGTAGAAACAAAGGGCTGTAGCCCACAGGGCTCCCAATCCGAGCTCAGTGGCACCTCATTACACCACTGGTAAATAGCATGTTGCACTGCTCTGCAGAACAAACCTATTTGTTGGCATTTCTTTGTAGCCACTGCAGTGACTGTGCAGGATTAAAAGGGATGGGCATGAACAGCTGTAGCCATCTCCATTTCTTTAAAGGGTTTCTATCCCAAGTTGGCTTGCAAAACCCACAGAAAAGCACAGATATATGCAGCCCACATTAAATGAATTGCTCAGATGGTAAAACCAGTCAACAGAGGAGAGAACCCTTTGAAGACCATGCCTGCAGGAATATGTTTTATATGGTCTTTTTGTAGGATGTTGGCCACCTGACCTCTGGGTCATCTCTCACCTCCACCCCAACCCCCTGGGTTTTCAGAGACTTTACAAAACATAGTACACCATTTTCAGGATACCTTGAAGCTTGATTTTTAAAAAAGAATTCCAAGAGCTCCAGGATGTTGGATGGACCCAACAACCAATGCTGCGCTTCTACAATGTGACTGTTAACCAGAAGGGTCTATGCATCGCTATGTGTCACTATGTACACAATCACTTATGGAATTGAGGGGAGGGGGGAATAAGGTTGATTCCCATACAGATGTTTTTAAATTGCCCACCATGGACATTTGAAATGTGCCCTTGAAAAAATGCATTTTGATAGATGTGTGTGGGTCAGGATTAGGTGTGACTCCATGGAACAGGAAGGAGAAGCTGATGGTTCCCTTTTCACCGGGGCTTTTATTCTGAGCTATCCAGGAGGTCCCCGAGGTGCTCCAGGGTGATAAACCCAGCTGGAGATGGAGTTCAGCACCATGGAGAGCTCCTGTTAAGCTTGACAGACATGGAGAGCTCCTATTAAGCCTGGATGAGAACTAACTAGTTTCCCTGTTAATGCACAAAAAAGCTTGAATTGTTAAGCAGCAATTGTAGGGATTCCTGCTGAGCTGAAATGGGGTGGAGGGGTCACAGCAGCTTGCCAGAATAAACGAGAGCCCCTCTCCCCATGCACGATTTGTTGGGGGATCAGTTAGCAAAGGGGCTAATGGAAGTGCAGACTTCCACTCACTCTAATGGGCTCCATCTTGCTGTTGCAAGTGCAGCATGAACCCAAATCTAATTGGCTAGCGATAGTCATTATTTCATCACATTTCCATTGCTGGCCAGTTCACAGCCATTCACAAAATGCAAAATTCACATCCAGCAGGTGAATCCTGACTGGCTAGAATCGCCTGAGGATGAATGAAGCAGAGGGGGAAAACTGGTCTTGAAGGGACAGCAAAGGGGGATGGAGAAAAGCCACCTGAAGCAATCAAGACCTCTTTATTTATTGTATTTATACCCCACCTTTTTTTTTTTCCTTTCAAGGAATTCAGGACAGCTTATATAACTCTCCTCCTGCTCTCAGTCTTATCCACACAACAACAACCCTGTGAGGTATGTTGGGCTGAGAGTCTTGCCTGACCCAAAGACACCCTATGAGCTCCATGGCTGAGTGGGGACTCGAACCCGGATCACCTGAGTCCCAGTCCTGCACTCTGAACCACTACACCACACCGGAGAGACTGAGCAGGGTGGTGTTCACCCCATTGAGCCTGGAGAACATACTGCTCCACATTAGCAGTTCTACGAAATAGAATCTGGAGTCAAACCACTCTGGGTTTTGACTTGCAGGGAGCAAAGACAAAAAAGAACCGTCGTGACTTACTGAAAAATCTGCGTCTTCCGCTCTCAAGTGATCTGCAATATAATGGACACCTTCCACAGCCAACTTCAAGGCAGGAGACATCAGCAGGAGCTGCGGGTCTTTTGCAGCGACAGTCTTGCTTCCTTGCCCTGAGGCGCTGGCTGACTCGGTTTTCTTGCATTTGCATTTGCAGTGGGTAGGTTTGGCTTTGGGCTGCTCCTCACTGAGATGGCACCGTGGAGAGGCTGGTGACCCACTGGATTGCCCATTGGTCTGGGAGGACTCCTCTTGCAAGTAGCAATACTGGATGCTCCTGGACCGGCAGCGGATGGTTCCTTCCTCGGCTTTCCCAGGGCTGCTGTACATCTGCTGGACACTTAGTGACCTGCCTTTGGAAATTGAGCTGGACTGGGAGTCTCCCAGTGGGTGACAAGGAGGTTGGAGCGACGTGCAGCTCGCCCGAATAGGCTCTGGACGCAACATGGAATACTGGCCTGATGGTGACTTGCACACCGGCTGTGGCTTGGCTTGGTCATCAAGGTGGGTGCAGAAAGAGGATGTGGGAGACTGCTCATTGCTCTGAGGGCTGTTGGACGATGAGGTAGTGAAGTTGGGTTCCACTTCAGTCTCTGACCAAAACCGTTGAGAGTTGGCTATTTTGTGCATGGACTCAATGAGCTTCTTGCAGTTATCCTTGACGGTCGAAGGACGTTTCATGAAGAGAAGGCGTGGGACAACATCAAGGAAAACCTTCCTCACCCAATCTGGCATGGTGTGGGTGCGAGGAGAGCGGTGGTGGACATTGAGCACAAAGACTGTGATGATGATGGACAAGGTGACGAAGATCATGGTGAAGAGCAAGTACTCCCCAATCAAGGGAATGACCAACGAGGTGGAGGGGATGATCTCCGTGATGAGGAGAAGGAAGACCGTCAAAGACAGCAGGACTGAAATGCAAAGAGTGATCTTCTCCCCACACTCGGAAGGCAGATAGAAGACCAGAACAGTCAGGCAGGAGATCAGTAGACAAGGGATGATTAAGTTAATGGTGTAGAACAGCGGGAGGCGCCGGATGATGAAGGAATATGTGATGTCGGGGTAGATCTCAGAGCAGCACTCATACTTCTTGATGTTGTAGTTGCCCACAGCGTTGATGATCACCCATTCTCCACTCTCCCAATAATCCAGCTGGTCCACGTGGCGGTGCATGCTCTCCAAGTCTATCTTGGCCTTGTCATACGTCCATGAGCCAAACTTCATGGTGCAGTTTTGCTGATCAAACGGGAAGAAGGTGACGTCGATGCTGCAGGAGCTTTTATAGATGGCTGGTGGCATCCATTTGATCCGGCCATCGTAGAACAGGTGAGCTTTGGTGAGGTGGGTGACCGCAAAATCCCCATCTGCACTGTGAGAAGAAGAGAATCAAACACAAAGAGGAAAATCAGAGGTAGGTCTGATGTATTTCTTGACTTAATGTCAAGAAAATGGTCTGGGGTGAGCAGTGCTGTGTAACCACGCGGATGGTTAGTGGTATATAAATCTGTCCCATCAAATTAAGTAATTAATTGATATGAACTGTGGTTGGTGTGCTGCCTCTGGTCACCTGCAAGGCAGGTGAGTATGGCTCCACCTCCCCAATAGATATTTTCACTAAGATATTCATCAAGCCAATGACTACGACGATTTTTCCTCCCCTCTCAGTCCTTTGCTTCCAAGCCCATTAATGATGACTCTTATTGAATCTTTCCTTAAAATGAAATGGAAAGGATTATTGTGTCAAATTTGATTCCACTAAAGCCTTGGCAAAGGAATTCTGTGTGTGTGTGTGTGTGTGTGTGTTTGTGTGTGTGTGTACTAGGCATCTTCAACCCAGTGTCTTCCAAAAGGGCTAAGCTATAACTCCCATCATCTGCAATCTCTGCTAGTCAGGGATGATAGCAGTTGTAGTACAGTCCATCTGGAAGATCCCAGGTTGATGGGAGCTTGGGTATACACACACCCGTGACATATCCAGTCTAATTTTAATTTTATATTTTTAAATCAATGTATTTTTTGTATTTTTGTATTTAATGGTAATTTATTATGTACTATTGTATTTCAATGTATTTTATCGTGTTGTAAGCCGCCCCGAGGTTTTGGCAAGGGGCGGCATAGAAATGTAATAATAATAATAATAATAATAATAATAATAATAATAATAATAATATAAGGACCCTGTTAAACATACCCTAGAAAATACCACATTTTAAAAATGTCATCCAAGTTCTTTTGCCAGGGGAATTTAGCCTTTTTATCTATAATTCACAACAATCGTCTCAGAAATAAGGAATAAGATCTTCTGGTGGCGTCTTTTGCATGGATATCATCTCAGATTTTCTCTCCATTTATACAAAGTAATGTAGCTTAACTCCAAACCTTCTCATATCAGTATGATGAGAAGGTTTGCAGATCTATTGATTATTGCAGATCTGGCTATTGGCCAGACAAATGCAACTTACTGATTTTAGCTGTGGACATATTTTGTTGCATTTTTCATTCACAATTGTGTTCATGTATGTTTGGAAGTGCAAGTCGGTGGCATTTGCTAAGGCTGGGGGTTTAATTATTCATTCATAAATAACCGTGCTAACTGGTCTAATCTCATGGGGAGGCATTCACAAATATTTCAGAGAAAATGCACATATTGGGAAAAATGTGGATTTCGTTGCATTTAGTTCCCCAAGGAATGCCTGCAAAGTGGGGTAAAGCAGGATGGGTTATTGGGGGCTCTCTCTGATTTACAGAATAAAATGTGTGAAAGGAAAGAAAAAGTCCTGTCCAAACAAGTTTGTAATCTGGATTTTAACACAAAGAAGCAGAGGGAAGAAGCAAGAGGGGAAATGGGTGCAAGTGAATCTATGAATGGGAGAAAGGGGGGTAAGCGGATGAGGTTCCAAAGGGACAGCTCTCCCATGCAGTAGGGTGGCGTCCTGCCTCAGGCAACAGAGAGTGGCACATTCCACCAGAAGCCACCTCCAGCCGGTGTTCCAGAGATCTCCGCCATGGCAGCAGCCCTGAGCTGAAAGGGGACACCCTTAAAAGGAGAAAGGAGCTTCTGTGCCTCTGCCCCACGGAGCATTTCAAAGAGTTACACTCACTCTGCATAGAGCTTAACAAATCTCCACCATCACCATACAAAGAAGGTCATACGTGGGAACCTGAGACTCAGTGGAAGCAGCTGCCCTCCGGCAATTAGCGGATTGGCAGAAGACGTGGCGTGTGAGGAGCCTTTCCTGATTCAGGGTTCGGCTTCTTCACCACTATGCTAACCAACCACCAGGCCCTACAGGAGTCTAGGGGGAGTATTTGTGTATCTTGGCCTTCCCCCATGTGGTGCTCTCCAGATATTTTGGGCAATAGCTCCCATCATCCGTGGGCAACGGCTGCGGGGGATGAGAACTGTGGTCCAAAACTTCTGGAAGGCACCAGCTTGGAGAAGATTTTTCTACATCAAATGATGCTTTCTTAATGGATAGAGTGTGACAGAAACGTACTGCCGCCACCGTGTCCTTCGTTACGCCTACATGCTGGGCAAGTTAATTATTCAATCTGCTTGCAAGCAAACGAAACGTCTGTCTGGTCTCCTGTCTGGAAGACTACCGTGCCCGATTCATAATTTTAACGGGTTGCTGAGCCAGTCTTCATGCTCTCCTTCTTGGCTGAATGCAGGCCTATTTTCATCTGACTGTCTATCCTTGTTTGCCCATTTGAAGTACAAAAGGTTTGCAGGCACGCATGTTAATGATACGAGGAGGATTTGTTGGGATTTTGCGGGGACTGTGTGTTTGTGCGTGTGTGTTTGCAGTGAGGAGAACAAGGGACACGTGTGTCTGCATGTAGATGAAGTGTGTGGTTGCCTGCTGGGGTGTGTGTGTGTGAGAGAGAGAGGGAGGGAGGGAGGGAGGGAGAGCAAGAGAGAGAATTTGGATGGGTGAGGAGCCATGCTGGGGGAGGCAGGGAGGCAGGGAGGGAAGGAGGGGGGAGCGGGAGAGAGAGAGAGAGAGAGCTGATTTGCACAGTAGTCAGGTGCAGTTGGCTATTTTGAATATTCACCCCCTAGTGAGGGATTCCCATGATTTGTCATGACATCTGAAGCCAAGAAACATGGCATACTGGAAGGTTACATAACCCTGAAAGAACCCTACAGCTATCCATAGGTTATTTGAGCACTATTTACCCTCCAATAAGCCATACTGCCCAGGTTCAGATGGCACAACAAACCACAGCAACCTGCTGGGGAATGAGCATTCGGAATGGCCACCTGAATGCACTGCAGGCCGCCATGGTTTCAACAAGCCATGATGGGCTGCAGTCACTGGGAAACTGGCCCAGTGTTTGTACCATTAATACTCCAGAGTAGGGACAGCATCCTGGCAGCTCTATTTTGAACCATCTGAAGTCTCCGGACTGTCTTCAAGGGCAGCCCCACGTAAAGCCTGTTACAGAAATCCAACCGGGAAGTAACCAATGCATGCGTTGAGTATGATGTCCATGCAGCAGGCCGCTGAGAGAGGCAGGCCATTGGGCACTGTGGTCCTGAGCCATGCAGGACGTTCTGGGCTAAACCCAGCACCCTGAACTGTTCTCAGAAGGCTGCATCTTATCTGTTCAGAGCTTCTGTTCCCAGTTATTGGGGTAGCTGCCCAGTTTTGCCCAATCTCCAACTTCTGAACAGTCTTCAATGGCAGCCCCCACAAACGGCATTGCGCCAATCTAGTTTAGAGATTAGCAGCATGTAGATGACCAAAACTAGCCTATCCTCGTCCAGATAGGGGTATAGCTGGGTGACCAGCTATACCTTGCTGCCGAGGCCACCTGAGCCTCAAGTGCTTGGAGAGGGAGAGAATTCCTGTGGGTCATGGTGGGCAGCCAACAGGTCTACACTGATGCTGAACCAAGTGCCCAGTTGGCAAAAGGGACAGACTAGCTCCTCCCAGTTTGCCCACCCAAGTCTTGCTAATGTAAGCCAGTTGGGTTGCTTCAGCCACTATTAAATCGAGAAGGTCTTACTGTGGACCAGTCTGGCCTTGGTCCATAGCACCTGGAGACCAAGTAGAGCAACCACCACAGCTGCGATGTGGCGAAGGCCAGGACGTTGTCCGGCCATTAGTGGTCTGGGCCATGTTTCCTGACCTCCTCCCAACACTTCATCTCTCTCTACGGATCCTGCTCCTCACAGATCCTCCACCTTGGCCCCATACCTTTCCAAGGCTCAGCCCCCCCACCTGAAGAAGCTCCCCGCAAAAGACGTCCCATTGGAGCTGTCCCCTTCAGGGTCAACACCAGCAGGGCACCAACTCCCTATTTCTCAAGCCAGCAGAGAAAAGCCTCCCCAGAGACTACACAGCTGGCCTACATGGCCCATTATTTCTGGGGCTGCTCCCTTTTCCCTGGGAAAATTTTCTGAGCAAGCAGAGGAACCAGCCTGCAAGAAGCAACAAGGGCGAGGGCGACACTGGCTAGCAGCTGGTGAGTTCCCAGTTTCCTTCCGATCACTGGCCAGACTTCAGGCCGCAGGATGGAGCTGGACAGAGCTGCCCAGCCAAGGTCAAGTGCAGAGTAGGTGAAAAACCCGCCAAAATGGCCAATCTGTTTGTCAACAAACACCAGTCCTGCTTAGTCCTTGTGCAAGCAGCTGATCTTGGATGCCCCAAAGGGAGGGTTGGCATGCACTGCTCATGGAGTGAGAGGGGCAAAATTAAATAGCCCACTAGAACCCCTTCCTTCTCTCCAATGAGAGATCAGATCAGAAATTCCCTTGCTGGCACTAAGAGGAAAAGCCCCAGGATTTCCTTCCTGGCCTTAGCAAGGGGCCCTCAGGGTTGCGCCCAGATTTGCTGCCCTCGGCACTGCCCCATATACATCTTCAGGTGAAAAAAAAATTGCACATCCCAGAACTAGAGTTTGCAACAAAGACATGAATGAGCACGTGGGCTTTTTGCGATGCTGCCCCAGTGTGAACGTCCCACCATCTTGAAAAGGAGGCTCTCCAGGCTGGCCCACCCATTTGGCCAAGTGAAACAGCGGCCTAAGGTGGCAAATGTTAGAAGCAAGTGGCTGAAGGACTGGAGGGGGGCATTTGGCTATGGGGCAGGATAAAAATCTAATACATAAAATAAATAAGTAAATAAAAACTGCATGTCCCATGGCTTTTGCTGTGCCCAGCTAGTCTGCCAGCTTCAATCATGGTGAAGGATGCTGTCACGTGGCCAGCGGTGAAGAAAGATTCTACCAAAAGTCCAGCTGACTTTTGTACCAAAAGCAGAGGAAACATCTTGCGCTTTGGCTCAGGGACAGCTAAGTCTTGGGCAGTGGGAGTTAACTTCTCACCAGTCAAGAAAAGGACAAGATCTATTGGAAAATGCA